GAGGTCAGAGGTACTTTTACAGCAGTAACTGAGTGAGTATTAACAGAAAAGCACTGATTGACAAGTTTTAATGATGTTATTTTACTTCCTTTTGTTCGTCTTCAAATTTCCAATTTAAAAAAACAAAAAACAGACATGAGAAAGTGTTCCTGGTTTACTCGTGTTTGCAGTTTTTAACGGACAGTAAAACCATTTGTCATGTACACACTCATTCTGCTGCTCTTCTCTGAGGTCACTACATTACATCAATCAAAGTAGTCAGACTGAGCCATGAAAACAACAAAACATGGCAGCAGTTTGATATAAAAGTTTTAAATTCACCCCACTGCTACAATAATGAACAGCACTGGGTACTGTTAATGTAATAACTGAAGAACTTTGTACTCAGTAGCTTCATTAGCGTGGGAGGAAAACTGGAAAATGAAATTAAAAAATAGAATTTTCTTTTATGAACTAAATTTTTCATTTAAACGAAGTTTCTGTAGTTTTTCATTTTCTTATGAGAACATTTTATCAAACCAAATTATTTATTTCTGAATGTTTAAATGTTTTGGGAAGAGTAAAATGCTGGAAAAAATCAGAAATGTGTCCTGTGGTCTCAAACATGTTTTGAGCTCATTAGCTAAAAACTCTTAATGAAAGTAGTTGACTCACCCCAGGATTATTTTAGCACATTACCAGGAACTCAGGACTCAGTGGAACTCAGAATAAACAATCCTGGGTTAAAGAACTGGATCCTTTCAGGGCCCTCTGTTTTCGAAGCCCTGCAGGAGCTTTTTTTTTTTATTGCAAACACCAAAAAACATACATATTTAGGAAGATTTTATTTGGTCTTGTGAAAATATTTTCTGTCTCTGATCAGTTAGTAAAACCAGTACACACTGGTCTGGACTGGTCTCTACAGCTGCAGCAGCTGTGGCTGCAAAGTGTCCTGCTCCCTGATTGGGTCGTCACTGGCGTCTGCGTGGACCTTCATGTGCACGTCCCGGGAGCGCTTTTCCTGGTAGCTCTTGCCGCAGAGCCGGCAGCTGTATGGCTTCTCCCCACTGTGCGTCAGCAGGTGCTTTTTCAGGTCATTCTTGGTGACGAAGGCCTTCCAGCACAGGTGGCAGCTAAACGCGCGTTCCTTCCTGTGGAAGCGGAGGTGTGTCTCCAGGTAACCTTTGGTGCTGAAGCTCTTAGTGCATAGGCTGCAGCTGAATGGCTTCTCGCCTGTGTGTGTCAGTTTGTGGGCATTCAGCCCTCCCACCTGCCTGAAGGCTTTCCCGCAGATGCAGCACTGGAAGGGTTTCTCGCCTGTGTGGATCCTCCTGTGAACCTCGAGGACGTGGATGGAGGCGAGGCTCTTCCCGCATGTCTCGCAGGAGATTCGGTTGGATGGTTTGTCTTTGGTGTGGTTCCTGATGTGCAAGGTGAGAGCGCCGTTATCGATGAACGTCTTGCCACAGAACTCGCAGATATATGGTCGCTCCCCACTGTGGATTCTCTTGTGGCGCCGCAGAGCACCAGACCGCGGAAAGGACTTCCCACAGACACTGCAGTGGTACGGTTTGATGCCGGTGTGACTCCTCATGTGAGTCTCAATGTTCTGGTAGGTTTTCCCGCATATGTGACAGATTTTGCCAGCGTCTCTGTGACTCTGCAGGTGCTCTGTGAGCGTTTTTGATGGCGGCATACTTTCACCGCAGACCCCACAGACAGACTCTGCCGAGTGCTTTTTGGCATGTTTTCTCAAACTTACTTTACTCTGAAAAGACTCACCGCAAACTTTACAGCGTGGTGGCATTCTGGCATTCTCTCTGTCAGATGTCCTGGTCTGAGAGTGCGCCGGTGACTCGCCATCTTGACCCTCTAATGAGTGACTCTTTCTGTGAGTTTTCAAAGCACTGCTCTCTATGAAGGTCTTGCCACAGCGGTTGCAAACATGCGGGCGCTCACCACTGTGGATCTTATTGTGGCGCCTAAGTGCACCTGGCCGGGGGAAGTGTTTGCCACAGACCAAGCAGTGGTACGGTTTGAGGCCCGTGTGGCTCCTCATGTGCGTCTCCATGTTCTGGAAAGTCTTTCCGCAGACACCACAGGTCCCACCAGTCTCTCTGTGTGACTGCAAATGTGTTAGAAGAACATCTGGTGAGTCGAGCTGCTGTCCGCAGATGCCACACATGCTCTTTGACTCCCTGCAGTGCATTTGGGCATGTTTCCTAAGGAAGCCTTGACTGTGGAACGAATCACCACAGACTCTGCAGTAGAGCACTGCCGACTTCAGATCTGGCATTGTTCCCTCCTGCTTTGGCTTCAGTGAGTCCGGCTGACTGTCCTCACTCCCGCTGTCTTTCTCATTTTGGTCTCCACCGTGCTTGTGGATCTTCAGGTGCTCTTGGAGAAGTTCACTCTGAGCAAAGCTGAGTCCACAGACGGGGCAAGGGTCAGTGCTCCTTCTGCTGTGAATCTTTTTGTGGCGCCTCAATGCTCCGGATCGGGGAAAGCTCTTCTGGCAGAGGACGCAGCTGAAAGGTTTAACTCCAGTGTGGCTCCTCATGTGTGTCTCCATGTTCTGAAACATTTTCCCGCAGACCCCGCAGGTCCCGCCTCCACCACTCACGGTTTCCATGTGAGATCTCAGGTGGTCTGACAAACTGTCTGATGACTCAAAGCGCTGCTTGCAGACCCCGCAGAGATGCTCGGGGGAGTCTGAGTGCAATTTCACATGTTTCAACAGATTCCCTCGATGGCGGAAAATCTTTCCACAGAGGACACAAGGCTGATTTGTCGGGCGCGCCAACAATGCTGTCCGCTGTCTCTGCCCACTGGACTTCCTGTCTGTGGTTCTCCTATCTGTCCCTTTAATGCAGAGTGAGTTTTGGCTGCCTCTCCAGTGGTCATCACTTTTAGCTGCACAGGTGATGTCTGGGGAGGCAGGGCTGGGCAGAGGTGAAGGCATGTGGATGGAGTTTGCCTGTGGGCAGAGACTTTCATTAGCAGCGACCTTACAAAGAGCAGATGTGTCTGAAAGAAAAACAAGAAAAAAACGTCAACAGTTCATAAAAGCAATTGCGGCATGAAAGACACAGAAAGTAACAGTGAAACAACATGAAATACAGATTTTCAGTGTTTCCACTAGCACCTGAATGCACCACACATCTGTAGCTCCATTCATAATTTATTTATATAGCACTTTAAAAACAACACATGGCCGATCAAAGTGCTGCACAGCAGAAATATTTTTAGATTTTTATTTTTAGATGTATTTTTTGGAGCCATCCATGACTTCAATGACTTTGCTAAGACAAACAAGCAGGAGTCCAATTGAGGAGAAATCAGAGTGATTGAAAGGTAGATAAAGCTGGCAAACGTCAGCATATAGATGAAATTAAATATCGTGTTTTCTGAAAAATCGTACCCAGTGGCAGGAGAAACAATGAAAACAGTACTGGCCCAAGATCAGAGCCCTGCGGTACCCCCGATTGTAAAGGGGCCACAGAGGATGAAGCCGAACCCAACTTAAAACAAAAGTTCTGTTAGAAAAGCCGGAAATTCCCACACAGTGTTGTAGTCCAGAGATTAAAGTTGGGCGATATGTAAAAATTTTCCAACCGACAATCGTCAGTCCAATAACCGACGATAGACGATATATTTATGGATGCACAGACTTTTCAATGGGCAGAGTGATGTAATAATGCACGGACTGATTTGCCCGTTTAGAACACAGAAGAAGTCCAAACATGGACGAACTAATTGCCAACTTCCACACTGCAGGAGAAGGCGCAGATAGAAATGGACTGTTACCTCACCGAGGAGGTCGTAGACAGAGAAGACGATCCACTGGTTTGGTGGAAAATTCATGAATAACATTTCCTATTGATGTAACACATGGCACGGAAATATCTGTGTATACCAGCCACAAGCACACCTTCAGAACGCATCTTCAACACTGCTGGTAATATTGTTAACCACCTGCGCACACTACTAAAACCGGATAAAGTAAAAATGCTTGTTTTCCTGTCAAAGAATTTATAAGTTTTGTTTGGAGGGAATATTTTACCTTCTTTTCTTCTTTGTTTCAGCATTA